TTTTAAGATTTATTTATTTGCCAGGCAGTGGTGGCGCACACCTTTAATCCCAGCACTCAGGAGGCAGAAACAGGCAGATCTCTGAGTTCGAGGCCAGCTTGGTCTACAGAGCGAGTTCCAGGAGAGGCTCCAAAGCTATAGAGAAACCCTGTCTCAAAATACAAACAAAACAAAACAAAACCCCAAAACACATTATGTACACAGTGTTCTGTCTGCATGTATGCCTGTAGACCAGAAGAGGGCACCAGATCTCATTACAGATTATTGTGAGACACTATGTGGTTTCTGGGTGTTGAACTCAGGGCCTCTGGAAGAGCAGCCAGGGTTCTTAACCATGGAGCCATTTCTCCAGTCATGACGAGATTTTTTTTCTAATGGCAACTCTTAAGTAGTCAAAGCCCATTGTAACATGCACCCATCTCACCCACATAGTGAACTTACAAATTAAATTAATAAAAAAGAGACCCTGAGCCCAGTGGTGGTAGTGCAAACCTTTAGTCTCAGCACTCAGGAAGCAGTGGCAGGCAGATCTCTGTGATTTGTGTAGGCCAGCCTGGTCTACAGAGTGAGTACCAGGACAGCCAGGGCTACACAGAGAAATTCTGTTAAAAACAAAACAAAACAAAAAGAAAGCAAGAAAGCATAAAAGGGAAGAAGGAAGGAAGGAAGGGAGGAAGGAAGAAAGAAAGGAAGGAAGGAAGAAAGAGAGCCTGAACCAACAAGATGGTTCAGCAAGTAAAGACACTTGCTTCCAAACTTGACGACCTGAGTCCAGTCTCCAGGACTCACATTGTAAAAGAGAAACAATCATACACCTGTCCTTTGACTTCCATAAGCATGCTATGGCATGCATACTCACACATACGTACACACAACAAATAAATAAATAAATAAAATGTAATTTTAAAAGATATTCTGTGTGTTTAGAAATAGCTGTGTTACCCAGTATGTGTCTGTCATCTCTGAGCCAAGGAACCCTGTGAGGTCACTGTAAGGGAATGTTTGTATTGGATACAGCTCCAGACTGACACCAGCTGTCAATCACATTTTAAAATCACGATTGTTTTGAGGAGTGAGTGTGCCAACACAATGCCACAGGAACAAAATGGAGTCAGAGCTGAGCCTGGCTGCTACAGGGGCCACCCCTGCTCTCCCCAAAAGGAACCTCTCTAAGTCCTATGGATTGGAGCTTTCCAACTGGTCAGTTACTGCTGATAGAATCTGTTCTAAAGACTGAATCAAATTCTGTTTTGAGGCTCGGGGCTTAAGGGATTCCTGAAACGGAACTGCCCGACAAGGACTTGCCCCATAGCTCTGTGGGCTTGTTCCTGGTCACCACTAGACAGCTGGTTATTCCCAGCTCCAGGGAATGAGGCGATACCCTGATTGATCTTGTGGATATACCTGTCTCCTTAAGACCCAAACAGCCACGGGGGGATGCCATGTGCTAAAACGGACACATGCCTCTGCTCAGGTTTGTGTGTAGGCCTCCAGGCTAATCTCTACAAAGATATCTGCTTTCTACAACTCAGGGAGAAATACAAGTGTAACATCATTTCTGGTGACATCACTCCTCCATCTCCTGCCCAGGGAGAATGAGTCAGTCAGAATGTAAGATGCTCGAGGAAACAGAAACTTGTGGATTTTGCAGGAGTGGATGGGAGGAAAGGGGTATACTGGAATATCATATGAAGATGAATCTGTCAGGCTGGAGAGATGGCTCAGTGGTTAAGAGCATTGCTTACTCTTCCAAAGGTCCTGAGTTCAATTCCCAGCAACCACATGGTGGCTCACAGCCATCTGTAATGAGGTCTGGTGCCCTCTTCTAGCCTTCAGGCATACATGCAGAAAGAATACTGTATATATAATAAATAAACATTTTTAAAAAAAGATGAATCTGTCTGCATAGGTTCTGGGGATCAATGTTGTACATTCCAGAAAAGCACACCTAGCTCTGGCATAGCAGATCTGACCTTAGGCCAGGACTTCTTAGTTTGAATGTTAGGGAATTGAGGGAACTTGGTAAGGTATCAAGAGTAAGATGGTGCTTGTGACAGTCACTATATGGAGCTTCCAGCAACAAACAGGGATGGGAATCCTTCAGAATGATTCCATTTTTTTTAAAGCAAAGAACAGACATAAAAATGGGACCCCTATGGGAAGCTGGTCAGTGTATGCATCACCTATTACAGTATAACATATTACCCCAAGGAGCAACTGAAAACACCATTGCTATCTTAAATTTCCATAACTACAGGTCCAGTTGCTGAGTGTCTATGTGTGTAAGCTGCAGAGAGAATGTCAACAGAGTTTCTGATCCTCCTGAGGGTGCCCTGGTGTTAAGGGTCCCTTCCAAGGACTGCTTCTACTCATGCTAACAGGACATGGGCCATCACTGAGCTGCTTGATGCTAATTCCTCCAGAGTGAGTCATCAGAACGAGATGGGAAAGAAGATGCTTGAACTCATTTCAGGAGTCACTCACTTCCGTTTGCCAGAACTGAGTCAGTAAGAATAGACCACACTCAATGGAGTGTCAAAAATTTGTGGTCCTATTTTATTTTATTCTTGCTTAGACAAAGTTTCATTGTATAGCTCTTGCAGACCTGGGAATCAGACCAGGGTAGTCTTCTATTCATAAAGATCCACCTGCCTCTGCCTCTTAGTTGCTGGGATTAAAGGCAGATACTACCATTCCCTGCTTTGTGGGCATATTTTAAAGCCACTTCAAAACTGGCTGAATAGGCATGGTGGTGTATACCTTTAAACCCAGTACTCCGCAGGCAGAAGCAGGTGGATCTCTGTGAGTCTGAGGCCAGTCTGGCCTATACAGCGAGTTCCAGGACAGGCAGAGCTATGTAATTAATAGGTCTTGTCATAAAAAGAAAGTCACTTCAAATGCTGTGATTAGAGTCACTACTGAACTCTACGTGTGTACCCCAAGCTCAGTGTTGGAAACCTAATCCCAGGCCAACAGTGTAGAAAGTGGGGTCTTTTGGAGAGCACTTATTTGACTCCTGGAAAACTGTTCTCATCTGTTGATTAATGCTGCCATGAACAGGCTTGCATCAGGGCTGGAGAGATAGCACAGCATTAAAGAGCACTTGTTATTGCAGAGGACCCAGATTTGATTCCCAGCACCCACATGGTGGCTCACAACCATCTGTAACTCTTGTTTCTGGGAATCCAATGCCTTCTTCTGACTTCCATGGGCACCAGGCACACATATGTTGTACACACATATATATATGCAGGCAAAACACTTCTACGCACAAAATCAAACAGAATAAATCTTTAAAAATACACAATCTTAGTGAATGCAGTTGGTACCTTAATCATGTATTTCTTAGTTTCTAAAATTGTGAGGGGAAAAAACCAAGACAAATGGTCAGAGGACAACTTGAGGTGTTGTGGGGTCTTCTTCTTCTTCTTTTTCTTCTTCTTCTTCTTTTTCTTCTCCTCCTCCTCTTCTTCTTTCTTCTTCTTCTCCTCCTCCTCCTCCTCCTCCTCCTCTTCTTCTTCTTCTTCTTCTCCTTCTTCTCCTCCTTCTCCTCCTCCTCCTCTTCTTCTTCTTCTCCCTCCCCCCTCCTTCTCCTTTTGTTTTTGAAGACACGGTTTCTCTGTAGCTTTGGAGCCTGTCCTGGAACTATCTCTTGTAGGTAGACCAGGCTGGCCTCCAACTCACAGAGATCCACCTGCCTCTGCCTCCCAAGTGCTGGGATTAAAGGCATGTACCACCACTGCCTGGCTGCGTTGTGGGGTATTAGGGAAGACTCCTTGGACATAGGCTGAAACTCATAGAAAGTCTTTATTAGCTGGTTGGTAACTACACTAGGTGTTTGGGAACCCAGTATAGCCCTGAGCCTTTTTTAAGGTGAGCTTTCAAGCACAAAAAAAAAATATTTCGGGTTGACAAAAATCAGTCAACAAGAATGGTTAGCCAGAAGTTAACTACAAAAGCCTAAAGCAAGGTTAGTACATTTAGAAACTTTCCCAGAACTATGGATTCTGATGGATTAGGCCCTTGTTTTTGTTTTGGCAAGTGGTGCTGTCTATGTGCTGAGTTTATGGTCTGGTTGGGATGGTACTTTCATCATGGAGTCAGTCATGCTAAGGTCTGAGCTGTTCTCTCCACCCACCATGTGGGCCCCAGGGATCAGACTCAGGCCATCTTTTTGTCTGTTATGTTTTGTTGAGACAGGGTCTCACAATGTAGTCCAGGCAGGCCTGGGACTTCTCTTCTTTGCTTCTCTCCAGGTGTTGGAATTTTAGGCATGTGCCCATTACTGGCTTGAAAATACATCTAATGTGCCTAAATTATGAACGACACAGCTTATCCCAACTGTGCTGGTTAACACTGGTTATCAACAGGCACTAGAATTACCTAGACTACAAGGTTTCTAGATTGAGTAAATTGGATTGGAAGTCCCGCCCCCACACATGGGCAGCACCATTTTATGAGTTGGGGGCCCCTGATGGAATACAAAGGAGAAAGCACACTGAGCATCAGCATCTATCATTCCCCACTCCCTGAATTTGGGTGCAGCGTGACCTGCTGTCTTGTGTTTTTGCCACCATGTTCTCCACTATGATGATGGACTGCACCTATGAACTGTGAGCCAAAATAACTCTCCCTCATTCAGTTGCTTCTGTCACATATGTTTTCACAGCAATGAGGGAAGTAACGGATACAATAGTTATCCTTATATGCTAAAGACACTTGCTGGTAGTTGGACAGTCATCTAACACAGAACCTGCTTTATAATACAGTGTTGGATGGGCATCATCGAGATGTCTCAATGAGCCAGGTGTGAGGGCACACGCTTTTAATCCCAGCACTCTGGGAGGCAGAGGCAGGCGGATCTCTGTGGGTTCAAAGCCAGCCTGGTCTACAAAGGATACAAAGGAGAGCCAGGGCTGTTACACAGAGAAACCCTGTCTCGAAAAACAAAACAAAACCTCTCAATGGATAAATGTACTTGTCACACATGGAAGCTCCTGATGACTTACGTTCAGTCCCTGAAGCCCATATAAAAAAGTGAAAGGAATTTGAGCTTGCTATAGCAAGAAAGTCTAACCTATTCCGGTGTTCTCTTCCTCATGAGACAAGCTGTTATACAGGCTCAAACAATATTTTTTAAAAAAAAATTTTAAAAAACGTGAAAGGAAGTTGTCCTCTGATACATGTCACACAATCACACAACTTCACACATACACACACACACACACACATACACACACACACACACACAAAGAAAAACAAAGCACTGGATATCTTAATTTATTATGTATAGAAAAACAGAACCAATGAATATAGTTGAACATAGAATGGGGGATTTATTAAATTGACTTACAGGATGTGGTTTAGGTAACCCAACAATGGCTGCCCTAACACTGGAGAAACAATGAACTGTTAGCTGCTCCATCTACTCAGCTGGGGGCCTCAGTAGTCCCAGAAGATTCTTGGCCACTGGTCTTCAGTTCAGGCTGGAAGGCTGAAGAAGCTGGGTTCTGATGTCAGCAGCAATGACAGCAGCAGTCACAATGAGAGTGAACTCATCCACAGGGAAGATGAACTCACCAACAGGACAAAGAAGCAAACAACAAAATAAAAGCAAATGTTTCCCCTGGTGCTAGAAGCTGCTGCCTACAATCAGAGTGGGTCTTCCCACTAGAGCTAATGCAGTTAAAATCCCTTGGGCTACAGCAATGGCTCAGTAGTTAAGAACACTTGCTATTGTTCTTTCAGAGGCAGGTGCTTGGTTCTAAGCACCCACAGGTCAGGCAGTTCGCAGTCTTTGACTCCAGATCCTCTGACACCGCTTCTGGCTTCTGTAGGCACCTGCACTCACATACACATACCTACATGTACACACACACCGACACAACACACACCTACACATAATTTAAAAAAAAAATTTCTTTTTTTGAGATAGAGTTTCTCTGTGTAGCCCTGGCTGTCCTGGAATTCTCTCTATATACTAGGCTGGCCTTGAACTCAGAGTTCAGGCTGCCTCTGCCCCCTGAGTGTTGAGATTAAAGGTGTATGCCACCACCGCCTGGCAATAAAGAAATACATATTTTTAAAATATTTATTTATTTATTATGTACAAAAATATTCTGTCTGTGTGTATGCCTGCAGGCCAGAAGAGGGCACCAGACCCCATTACAGATGGTTGTGAGCCACCATGTGGTTGCTGGGAATTGAACTCAGGACCTTTGGAAGAGCAGGCAATGCTCTTAACCACTGAATCATCTCTCCAGCCTGAAATACGTATTTTTTAAAAAGAGAAAATCTCTCACAGCCATGCCCAGAGGTTATTTTTATCTAGATAATACCTAACAGGTGTACCCAGAGGCTTGTCTTTTAGTTGATTCCAGATAGAATCAAGCTGACAAGTAGAATTAACCATCACACTACTGACAGCACAGCAGGGTGTGCAGTGAGTGTTACACAAAACCAGCTGTCCCAAGCTGTGAGAGTATAACATATCATACCTCACTAGCCTGGGAGAAGATCAAAATTCAAAGCATAGAGGCTAAGGGTACAAGGGCATAGCTTGGTAGTAGAGTATGTGCTTAGCATACATGAAGCCTTGGGTTTAATCCCCAGCACTGTAGAAAATGAAATAAAAATTACTGAAAATCCTAACTCCATAATATCACTTTCATATAGGATAAAGCCATACATTGAGTTGTAATATGACTGAGGGACTGGAGAGATGGTTCAGTGGTTAAGAGCACTGGGCTGCTCTTCCAGAGGCCTGGGGTTCAAATCCCAGAACCCACATGGCAGCTCACAATTGTCTGTAATTCCAGTTCCAGGGGATGTGATGTCCTCTTGTGCTCTGTAGATCCTGAACACATACAGGGCACATAATTCACACAAGCATGAACAGACACACATGCAAATAAAATAAATGCATTAAAAAAACAAGACTGAGCTATAGACTCCCTGAATATAAGCTTAAAACACTCAAGAACTCAGGAAAAATTGAGTGCAGATTATATGTGCTATTTTGCTTCAAGGAACAGTTAAATTCTGTTAATTAAAAAATGTGTATATTTCTGAGTGCAGGTCACACGTACACACAGAGATCACAGGATAACCTCTGGCACTTTTTTGAACTCTTTTGAGTCAGAATCTCTTCTGGTGTTTGCCATACTTCAAGCCAGCTGGCCTGCAAATTTCTGAGGACTCGCCTCAGAAATTCTTTTTTACTTTTATATGCATTTGTATGTATATGTGGTAGTGGAAGCATGTTGTGCCACAGCATGTGTAAAGATCAGAAGACAGCTCACTGGAGTCAGTTTTCTTCTTCCACCATGTAGGGTGACCAGACTCAGGCAAGCGTCTTTACCAGCTGAGCCATCATGACAGTTCATGACAGTTAATCTTTACCTTCAACATTAGACTGAGAGATAACTAGGAGATCAATAACACACCTCTGTGATGTCTAAAAGGGCATTTCTAGAGACAATTAAATCATGATGACTTTGATTTAATCATGGTTTAATATAAAACTTTTAAAACTATGAGTAGTGGACTTAAATACGGTAGATAACAGAGTGTGGGTACCACAGATTCTCTGGCAACAGTAAAAGGTTTCTGGATGTGTAACGACCAAAATTAATTAATTGGCTTAAAAAATCCAAATTGTTTCTGGCAGTACTCTCATATTATAACCTGAGATTTCCCTTCATTCTGAACATACAACATTAACACTTTACACTTGTGTGTCATCAAGCCATACAAAAGCAGTAATGAACCCTGCCTGAAACACATTGGTTAGAATTGAGACCACTGTATGCTATATATTGAATTCTTTTTACTGCAGATACAAAGTTTTCTACTCTTATAGAAAAACAATGGTTTAATTATGGAAAATGGATTTTAAATATTTTCCTACTACTTAGTATGTATCAGATTTGTGTATCTTTGGATTTTATTTTTAGAATGGCTTTTTAAATTGCTGTATGAGTTGCCTCAACCTCATTAAGTTGGACACGCTTTGAGTCTCTTTGAATCTTATGCGTGTCTAGAGCAGTATTTTCAGGCCAAAACTTCCCAGAGGGGTATGTGGATGCATTTCTGGATCAGAGCATGGCCTTCTGGAGAGTGCATGTTTTCCAGTTTGCACCTCCAATGCACAAGTGGCCTTGGAGAAGCGTTAACAATCTATTTAACTAGGACTGGTAAAGCAGTGAAAGATTTGGGTTCTAAACTGGGTATTCTCTTCTCATCCGCATTATTTATATTCTCCAAGGCTTTCTTTGAGTAACACCTAACTTCACTTTTTTTTTAAACAACCACAGTCTTTCCTACTTCTGTGCCTCTCCCCAGCGATGTACTTTGACCGTCTCATGGATTCCTACCATCTTATTTACTTCAAACCCGAGTAACTGGCTCTGATGTTCATTAAATAAGTTTTTGATGACCTAGCTGTAGTTTGGTGGTAGATCAACCATGTAAGTGTGTTGTGGGAACTCACTTCTTCAGTCAATAATAACCTTTAAGATATCGGCCCACTTTGGGCATGGTCGCATGTACAAGTGCAGACAAAAAGCATGCATGGTCCTTTTTTCTGCTGGATTTGGTTCCCGGTTCCCAGTGCATACAGAGGACTATGGATTGCTACCTTTAATGTGAGTTTATCCCTAAATAAATAAACCTTTGTCATACTCCATTCCGGGCTATTGTGGAACTCTTTAGTATTACCACATAAGTGTTCAAAATACATTGAGCCAGTGGGTTCAGTCCCTAGTGTTTGTGTGTACACAAACACGGAGGTTATTTAAATACTTTTAACTTTTTATTGGAAGCTAAAATACACAGAACAGTGATTCCACATATCATTTACCCAGCTTCCTCTAAGGCAAACATCTTAATCATCACTGTCACACTATTAACCAAAGCAAAGACCTTATGCAAATTTCACCAATGTTGCAAGAATCTTTCTCTCTCTCTTTTTTTGAGACAAGGTTTCTCTGTGTAACCCTGGTTGACTGTCCTGGAACTAGCTCTGTAGATCAGGCTGGCTTCAGATTTAAGAGATTTGCCTGCCTCTGCCTCTTAAGTGCTGGGATTAAAGGCGTGTGCTACCATTGCCTGGCTGCAAGGATCTCTTGATGCCTTTGGCTTCCTGTCTCTAAAACTTCCCAGTTCTTCATTTTTTCCCTATTTTTATTTTTCATACTGACCAGTTTCCTCTCTCCTTCGTCCACTCCCTTCTAAACACCCCCCTCCACTGTCTCCATTCAGAAAGGGGCAGGGCTTCCATGGGAATCAATCAACACACCATGGCACATCAAGTTGAGGCAGGACCAAGTTCCTCCCCCTGTATCAAGGTTGGGCAAGGCAACCCAGCTCAGGGGTTGGGTTCCCAAAAGCCAATTCAAGAGCCATGGACAGATTCTGGTCCCACTGCTAGGAGCCCTACAAACAGACCAAGCTACACAACTGTCACACCTCATGTTGTCTTTTATGACCTTGCATATCTTTAAAGAGCATCAATCGGCTGGCTATATTGCTGATTTCATCAGTATGAGTTTGTCTGATATTTTCTCAAAGATGGCTCAGGGTAGACATTCTTGGCAACAGAACCACAGAAATGGCTGTTTCCTCCAATGGACTATTACTAGAACAAAGTCCGTCTGCTTGCTATCTAAAAGCCAAAACATTCAGAAAGAGAGATTAGTGGGAAGAAAATCATTCAAAGGCTGGCACCCCGAGAAGATGGTAGGGGGTGTTATCATCATACGTCAAAAGATAACCTTGGAGAACCTGAGTGGATGGAGGAGCTATTGCAGGGAAGGACACTGGGCAGAAAGGCTATATTCTGAGCAGTCTTCTTCATCCAGTGTGTCTCTGCCCCCCTTCCTTTATTATTTGGTTAGAAGATAACAGTAAACCTAAACTACATTTTCTGAGTCTAGTTTCTTTAGACAAACGTTCTGCAAGCTAAGCATTATATTACACATTCCTGTACACTCTAAAGCTCACCAGATTTGCTGAGTTTTGTTAAGTTTACAGAAAGATTTAACAGTTAACACTCTAATTATTAGGTGCACTGTTTCTTCAGAATTTAGAAGCTAGTCAAAAGTGGAAGCAGCTCTACAAGGAGCAACTCAT